CTCTAGTCCTATGCTGCGATTGGGCTATCGCGGGGAATTAACTTGTGGCAGGAGCCGCGAGTTCACAGGTGACTAACGTGGCCGTGAAATCAAACTTGTTGAGGCTAATTGACAAGTGTCACATGCGATCACTTACAAGTCTACCTGCTACTTAAACCCACCACATGTGAAGCTCCAGTGAACAACTGTGAACCCGAAGAATCACATTCGCAGTTCCGATGCAATACAAAAGAATCTCGTAGCACAGTCCTCGATCACTCATCTCGCGCGGGTGATTCATAGCAGTCTCAGTTTTAAATGATGGAATTATGAAATAAAATAAAATAATAATTGATAAATAAAATTATCAGTTCCAGCCAGTCCACCATAGCAAATCAAAATGGTCACTTCTTTATAGTGTTTACTAACTTTCCTAGCGATGAAAAGATAGTGAGATTTTCGCTTCCCTATGAAAACTAAATTTTGTCTACTAGCTGTCGGATGGAACGCGTACTGCCACTTGTTCATCGGAAAGCTAATGATGCCAATCTCTAGTAAATATTTATAATGCAGCTGCCCGCGAAGATGGACAAAATCGGTGTGAAGTTCAGACAGCTGAGAGCTACCCAGGCCAGAATAGGATTAAGAAAAAGTGGAGTTAGCGAATGAAAAGCGCATGAAGGGCTAGGAATCAATGGGATATTGGTAGGAAAAGCGCATGCTGAAAATCAAAACCACAATAAACTTGGAAATGTTGCCAACGCAGAGCGCCCGAAGTAAAGTTTCGAATATTCCTTGAATATGAGTGAGGAATAAACGCAAATATTAGTCAGTGGATTAGCATCTCTGTCTCTAGCATTGACTGTGACGATATGCATTGCAAAGCCGAGGGTCTGAGTTTATGCCATATCACCTTCAGTCTATTTAAAACCTCTCTTCTACTGATTGGTGGAAATAATAGTCTATTCTACTTAATAGCTCTTGGTAGCTCCACCATAATTCTTAAATGAATAGGTTGCGAGCAATTTGGATAGGTTAATAATGATGTCAATAATGAGAGAAAAATGCACGCATCTTTCGGGCTTGATTTACTTTCATTGATTGCAACTTTTAATACGTAAGTACAGTAGAAATTTCATCGAAAGAGTTTTTCAATTTACTATAAATTCGAGTATAAATTGAGCTCATCTTCCACCTTTTTATTTTTTTATGCGTTGGATGACCTTATAGTATATATGTAAGATTTATTATCTTTTAAAAGGTTTCTTTTTCCTCATATCAGAGTATAACCACACACAAGTGGTGAAATGTGAGAAAGAGATAAAAATGTATGAACGGGAGTGGGGACTCTAAAATTCACACGGGCTCTCCATATATTTCTACATTGACATTTACAACGTCCTAAAGCATGGAGTTATTCCAGCTCCTATTGGAAATGAATGGTTTCATCCGATCCGAATGACAATTACTTTGCAGGATATATTTTAGCACTATTTTGTCGTTAGATCTCATTGACGATTGAGAAAACTAGGGTCACAGGAATGTTATGTCACCGCAAGATTCATGAAGCCTAGCAGGGCCCAACGCCCGTTCAATTTATTGCTCATATACGTAGTGGCAAAATAGAACAAAAAGTAGATCAAAGATGTCAGAATTTACATGTGAGCTTTTCCAACTTTTTCTTGTTCGAGTTTTTTTAACACATTTTTTTGCCAATAAAAACATATAATTAGATATAAGCTTGTTCCAGCTTGTATTGTGCCTTCTATTTCATAGATTTCACTCTTAGCTCAATAATCTATAAGTATCACTAAATTATCACTTCATCTTTCACTGCAAGTTTTCTCTAGTTTAGAAAATCAGAATCCTTTTGAAAAAAAGGAAAGTACCTTAGCCAGTATCAAATTGTGGCTACATGCAAGAAATTTCAGGACGTTTTCATAGTGGAAACATTCAGGGGAAGTAATTTCTGGCGAATAAAGTGGGATAAAGTCGGATTACAACATTCAACAACTATTTATATATAGTTGTTGAATGTTGTAATCCAACTGTTTCATTAAAACAAAATATTTTGGTTTTCATCTCTCTTGATGAGGAAGATATTAGTGTATTTTATTGTCTAATAGTAATTTTTTGATGTTTTAAATTTATCTTTTGAAAAATTTTCTACAGATAATTCGCAAAATTTTCTTGCTTTTTTTATCGCTCTTTATTTTGATTGTAAAAGTAAGAGACGAAAGCATAATCTTATCAATTTTATAATCATTTGAATTGTCCATAATTTTGATGATCATGTACACTTCTTAAAACTTTTACAAGTGGATCCAAAAGAAACAGGCAATTTTTGTCTAAAATAATGTAGACAATTTTTCCCTTCTTCATCTCTAGGATTTAACAGTAAGAATGAAAAAGCGTGCATTTAGCACGCTTCGTTATTATTCAGGTGAGCCGTATAATGCACGGCTCAATATTATACATCAATCAATACTGGGCGAGAGAGGTGCACTCCTGAGTCCGGCTGCGGCAACGGTGGAACAGGCCATCATAGCTGCCATTGTGCTTTGCTTTTGAATGTCCTAAAAGAACGTGAGCTCGAGACTGTCCTAGTGCTTGTTCGAACAGAAGTTCGTCAGCTGCTGATAATCGTAAAGAGCTGATGAGCTGCTGATAATCACTATATAGAGAGTTGAGAGTTAGCTGAGCGTTGTATATAGACGGAGAGGGTTGACGCGATCAACTTTTGTTGTTGGGAATCTGCGTAGCAGGGTGTAGATTTATAGTGCGCGAGAGGTGGATGGAAGAGAGAAACACTGCCACTTGTCCCGGGGATGAGCTTCCACGTCGTAGTAAAGTTGCAGCTGCGCTCTGGTCCTATGCCTGCGATTGGGCTATTGCGGAAGTTAATTTGTGGCAGGAGCCGCTAGTGGCCAGCGAGGCCGCTGATTGAAACTGTCGCTACTAGTTTGCCATGTGTCACGGTCACTCAGAGTTCCACCTGCTACTGAAACCCGCAATCTCTGGAGCCAGAACGTACATCTGTGAACTTGAGCAATCACTTTCGCACCTCATATGTAATTCCATATGAATTTTGTGGCGTACTCCGCTTTATCTTATTTCGTGAGGGCGGCACGTAGCTTTCTTAGTTCTGAATGATGGAGATTCAGCAGAATGTAGTTCAGTCAGTCCACCATTGCAACTCCAACAGTGTTTACATATGGATATCCCATGCCTTAAGATCAAAACATTGTAAGTTATTCACTTCCTAAGTTTTTTTCATAACTTCTGTCTAGTTCTGCTAATGACATTTATTTCTACTAATTTTTTTTAAAAGAAGCTGTCTGCTAATATATTTGATATTTCATGTCAAACATAAGTTTTAACAACGGCTTGTATTTCGAGACCTCCCTTTCACAATTCTCTTTTATAGATTCCAGACACCACTTTTTTACACAAAATAGAGAAGATAGAATTTTATTATAATTGAACAACACAGCTCAAATGTTAAGAAGTGGGTAGAGAATGCTCTACGAATACATTGTGCGCATGATTAAATAGAAATCATAATTTAGAACCAAACTTAGCAAATAGACTTAGAAATATTTCATAATAGCAATGCTTATCTTGTTTCACTCATTGTAGTTTAGTCATATTAACGAATTATTCTAAAAGTCAAATAAGTTACATTCGGAGTGTATGCATCAAGGGTACATTTGGAAGATCCAGTTACGGAAGAGGATGACTCTCTCATACGCACAAAGCCAATTATGTTGGTCGTCGTGCACATCACAATATTCAGCAAATGGTCAATATGGATATGGTACTAGATAAACAGATCTGGTTGAAAAGCATGGCAGTTGGGCTCTTCTGCTTCTTGGTGCATGCTTAGTATAGTAGTATACTCTTAATCATCTCTGGAGTTCGCAGTCATACGTCATCCACATGGGGTCAACGTCCAATGAGATGCAGGTGGGGAGTTGACAAGTAATTTGCGAGGACGTCTCCTTTTCATTTCTATGAAAAGCGACGGTGTGTTTGACTTTACGAGTATCTATTACGGCGAATTTTCGCGTCTGCCGTTGCAACTCGGTCTTTCAACGAAGACGACATCCGAGATACTAAGAAGTGAGAAAATGGTGAGAGATGAAAATACAAGGAGGCACACGACTTGTGAGCACGTCAAGACCTTTTCGGGACAATCATCGCAAGGTTGCAGCGAGAGACGCTTCGAGTTACTCAATTATTTAAAAGTTCAACTTGCGGTTGGGCACAAAAACTCCAATAGTTGTGGGCCAATGAGATTTTGAGACTTATGATTTTAAATAAGATCTTTTTATGGGAGAAACAATGAGAGTATTGAGATTTGCGATGGACGTCAATACATTCTTTATCTTTTTCCGGACCCATTTAATTCTAGAAATTATGGTTAATTATACACTGGAATTTTTTCAAATAGCTCGAGAGCAACAGCCCAAGGGGCGAAATAAGAAAGAATGATTGTTAATGATCAACGTATGCAACGTACGGTAAAACTTTATCTATGTTATTTTCACTTGATTTCTTTTACAAATAGTTCAAGTATAATAATAAATTTTTATCATATATTTTCTTCATATCTAATGTTTAAGTAGGTTCTTTTTTATTTTAAGTATTTTCATTTATTCGAAATATGATCAGAAATAAGAAATGAAATGGCATGTTCAAAGCTTTTATTCTTCCAAAGTTTACAATAGTAAATATTCTTCAAGCGTTTTGAAATGGAAACAGAAGAAACAAGATAATGCGGTCCTAATATACAATTTTACTTTCATTTTTCACTTCCAGAATGTAACCTCAAGAATGCAAAACCCTGGGTTTAGTACGCTTTATCTTGATTCAACTGAGGTGTATATTAGACATGTATTAATAAGCTCGACGAGCTCGAATATATCAATACAGATTTTAAGTTTGATAATGTACAACCTTTTTTTATACAGTAATCTCCTATACTAAACAAGATTCTTGTCGGCTAATTTCGACGGCACTTAAAAGAAAGTGCGGAAGACTGGTGCGTGGATAAAGCTCTCCGTGAGCAGCAGCGACAGGAAGCCGAGCATGGCCAGGCGCCCGTTCCAGCGCTCGGCCCTGGCCGTGAACGGCCCGAAGCTACGAGCGTCCGTCGACTCGCCGTTCAGCATGGGCACAATGGACGCGTAGGCGATCAGCGGCACCAGCGCCATGTAGAACACCAACCCGGTCCCTTGCGTGTACAGCTGCTCGTACACCGTCAGACCGCTCATCTTCTCCGCGACGGCTGCCCACAAAATTCCGACCATCGCCTGAATTCATAGACCAACAGTTTCCCGTAATTAATAAATTGCAATCACAGATCCCTCAGAATTAGCGTACAATGATAGCGAATCAGAATCATTACGATATCAGAATTCAAGCACCATTGTGATCCAGGCAATAAGAAAGTTCAGCAAATTACCAGTCGGCCATTGATGGTTTCAGGTGCGGCGCCATCAAACGCGAAGATGCTGTCAAGGCTCTTGTCACCGGTTTCCGGTCGCCTCTCGACCTCAGGGCGAGGGTAGAAGGAGCCGGATGTGGGCTTGGCACCGAACACCGACTGCTTCTCGGACTCGTTCACCTCCTGGTTCTGCAGAATCTCGTCCTTGGTGATCTCCTTCTTCGTGGCCTTATCTACGGCCTCCCTCACACCTTCGCATCTGATGGATCCCAGTCTCCTCGTGGACATCGGTGCCCTCACGCTCTTGTAGCTGGAACTCGACGCAGCAGACCTCTTCAAGTTGGAGGACAGAGGCGCACCTCTGAGTCCGGCTGCGGCAACGGTAGAACTGGCCATCATAGCCGCCATTGTGGTAGATCGTGATTTTTGAATAACTTACAAGATCGTGAGCTCGAGAATGTCCTGGTGCTGGTTCGACCAGAAGTTCTTGAGATGCTGGCAATCGTGAAGAGCGGACTTAAGAATATAGAAAGTGGAGAGTTGACTGAGCGTTATGAGTAGACAGAGAGGGTTAACGCGATCAGCTTTTGTTGTTAGGAATCTGAATATCAGGGTGGGGATTTATAGTGCGCGAGAGGTGGAATGGAAGAGGGGAACATTGCCACTTGTCCCGGTGCTCGAAGGCGCGGTGAGGTTCCACGTCGTAGTAAAGTGCAGCATCACTCCAGTCCTATGCCTGCGATTGGGCTACTGTAGAAGTATACTTGTGGCAGGAGCCGCTAGTTTACAGGCGGCCACCGTGGCCGCGATTTGAAACTGTCAATATCAGTTGCCATGTGTCACGGGCGATCAATCAGTACGCACCTGCTACTGAAACCCTCTACCTGTGGAGCTAAAATGCACAACTGTGTCCCCAACCAATCACGGTCGCAGCTTCGATGCAGAGCAAACGCTTTTCGTAGCGTACTCCTCGATGATTTATGTGGTGCGGGTGACACATAGCGGTCTCAGTTCTGTATGGTAGAAATTCAGGACAGACTAGTTCAGGCATTCCACCATAGAATGTCGAATTGCTTATTTGATCAGTGTTTACGTACTATTATCGAGATACTGTCAGGTGTCGGATGGCACGCGTACTGCCACTTGTTCTTCGGAAAGCTTATGAGGATACTTTATGATGAGGATTTGAAAAGAGGTTTTGTAGAAAAATGGTCGCATTCAGAAAAAAGTTCAGGAATCTGAGAGCTAACCGGGGAAGCAATATAGTCACCAGGCGAGTGATTGATTGAGAATCGATGGAATTAGCGAGTGAAAAGATCATGAAGGGCTACAAATCAAAGGGGATGTTGGTAGGGAAACTGCAAGCTGAATAGCAACATCACCACCCTCAATTCACATGATTTTCAAATTCCTCAACTTAAAATAATACTTAGAAAATATTTGTCATTCAAGTGAGATTTTGCTAAACTCTTGACCTTGCCAGGAAATTTTTCTTCAAGTCTAAAAATTATTTCCAACTTTCTAACTGAGATTTTATGGCAAATTCCACTAGAGTCTAATTTATTCAACATACCTACTCTCGAAGAATGTCTTATCCATTTTAGAATTACAATTCTTGTGTATTTAATCATTTGCCCATTAACCTAGAGTAGAGAGTCCATCAAATGTTTGGAGACATTAAGTTGCCTCTTAAAGTATTTTATAATAATCCTCACAATCCATATATGTGATTCCTTTTAATTCATGTTTCTTTTATTCATTAAATTGTACATTCTTTAATCTACAATGTAATTACCTTTAGTGTGATATTCTTTGTTTAAGATAGCCAGGAATTAGGTGATAAATCAGAAAATAAGCTTTCGCTTAGCGTTCCTGTTTGAGTTTTACAAACACCAGAACAAACAATGCAAGTTTTCTTCAGATTTATTATCACATTCGGATTGCGTGATGAGATACGACCTCATGTAATTGGGTAGCTGCCGGCTTTTCTTACGAAAAATATATCACCAAGCGTTGGATTCTTTTTCCACCAGTAGGAAACCTGACAGGGTTCAGGTTCCATGAGACGGGTTAGTGTTACGCTAATTATGACTTGGCTCCACAATAGTAATATTTGTATATGAAATTGATAAAAGAGGAACAGTTGAATGCCATAATCGGTAAATGTATTCGGTTTAAACATGTAATGAATCGAAGCCACTACTCCTAAAATTATGTTTTAATGCTGTAAATGAAAATAGGGCTCCGATCGGGTCAGGTTTGAATGTCAAACCGTTTGACCTTCGGATTCGGGTAGAACCCGATGGATCCCCATCGAGTGGAGTAACGGCGAGGGAGAATCGGGAAATTGGAGATGCGAGTATTTTCTTGACGAGGAGTCGAAGCAAGAATATTTCGAGGAAGCTGGACGAGCAGAATAGGTAACGCAGCGCGGCTCAGCTAACGCAGAAGCGAGCGAGCAAGGGACCGGGTGCCTCCATCGCATGAGCGAGGTGCGCAGCAGTCGGGACGAGGAGGAGGCGTGCCAGACACGATAGGAGGAGCAGAGTTTAGCGAGATGGAGCGGAAGCCAGTTGGGCTTGCAGCTGAGCTTTTATCGGTCGTTGCTTTATTAACTTTCGGGTTTTCAGGTCGGGTACAGCCCTCTACCCGACCCGAACTCGGGTTTTACCCGAACCATATCGGAGCCCTTAGTGAGAATCCATGCTTGAAGCCCTGTTTTCTACCGGTGTGGGCGGCTAGTCCTTCTTCGTAACAACGTGTCGAGAGTCTCCCCAGGCCGATGGAAGAAGCCTCGCCCGGGAGCTTTGAATCGCATTTCTAAACGATCGGGACATGAATCGATGTAGACGATGAATACATGGTACGAAGTAATACAGGCGGCCTTGCTGAGTGAGATTCAGGCTTCTGTCTCAAAGATTACTCACTCTTTTTTCCATTAATTTTCCTTTTCCCTCGCGGGATCGAGGCTTAGATTCGAGACATTTGTTTCTGGTCTTGTCTTCATTCGGTACATTCTTCAAGGCCGCCCTGAGTGTCCGGTCTGTGTCGTCTGAGCTGACCTGAGGTTCTGTTGTTTCGGAGACAGTGCCGAGTTGGTGTTATACGATGTGATTGTGTGACCGCGGCGGGGGCCTTGAGCTTCATATTTCCCCCTGTGTTGGTGCTGGAAATCTGTTGGTGGGTAGCCAAAATGTGCCTAGATGCAAGAATTTTCAGATCTGTCTCGAGCAAGTTTTAATTCCAGACTGCTTATATTCTGATTCTATACAGATAAGTGAAGCTGATGTGAGGCGATCCAGGAAGCATGTAACATCGAACATTTGTAAGTTGATTTAAACTAAACCCATAGCCGATTGCAGTCTGCATGTTTGATCATATGGTGCTAATTAGTAGTTGAGTAAGAAGTGTAGATAATAAATTGTATAATAAGGAAATCATTTTTTTTCACTTTTTATTTTTCTTATTATTGTGTTTTTTGCAGAGAATATAGTTTAATTATGGATATATTTTTGCTATTATTTACTCTTTACACGTTTCACTTTTGTATCATATGTTTTTCTTTACATTATTTACATGAGTTTTGACAAAAGAATGTTCAAGTACGTATTTCTGCCATTTTATTATTCGCAATTTTGATCGGATTGAAGAATGAAAAGAAGAATTCCCCATTTTTTATGCGAGATGTCATTAGTGAAACAAAGTATAAGTTTGCAATAGCTTTTATTATTAAACATTCTCAGATGGAAGTGGAAGAAACTGAGAGGTTCATTCTCAAAATATAGAAAAATCATATCTCCAAATTCAGAATCAGCGTTAAGAATACAGGAGCGTGCTTTTATTCAATTGAGCTGTGTACTAGATTTAAAATAATATGCTCAACGAGCTCGAATTAACTAATACTGATTATGAGACTGGTAATGTACAACCTACTACTTTACAATCATCTCCTGTAATAACAAGATTCTTGTCATCAAATTTTGTGGGCATCTAGAAGAAAGAGCGGAAGACGGGCGCGTGGATGAAGTTCTCCGTGAGCAGCAGCGACAGGAATCCGAGCATGGCCAGGCGCCCGTTCCAGCGCTCGGCCCTGGCCGTGAAAGGCCCGAAGCTCCGCGCGTCCGTCGACTCGCCGTTCAGCATGGGCACGATGGACGCGTAGGCAATCAGCGGCACCAGCGCCACATAGAACACCAGCCCAGTCCCTTGCGTATACAGCTGATCGAACACCGTCAGACCGCTCATCTTCTCCGCTACAGCAGCCCACACAATTCCAACCATCGCCTGAAATCATAGACCAACAATTTTACATATTTTATAAATTGCAATCACAGGTCTCTCAGAGTCAGAATACAATGATAGCGAATCAGCAGCATTATGAAATCAGAACTCAAGCACCATAGTGATCCAGGCAAAGTTCAGCACGTTACCAGTCGGCCATTGATGGTTTCAGGTGCGGCGCCATCAAACGCGAAGATGCTGTCAAGGCTCTTGTCACCGGTTTCCGGACGCCTTTCGACCTCAGGGCGGGGGTAGAAGGAGCCGGATGTGGGCTTCGCACCGAACACCGACTGCTTCTCAGACTCGTTTACTTCTTGGTTTTGCAGAATCTCTTCTCTGGTGATCTCCTTCTTCGTGGTCTTGTCCACAGCCTCCCTGATCCCTTCGCATCTGATTGAAGTCCATCTGCCCGGGGCCAAAGGTGTTCTCACGTTGCCGAAGCTGGACTGGCACGAGGAAGACCTTTTCAAACTGGACGACAGAGGAGCACTCCTGAGTCCCTCTGCAGCAACTGTCAATGATGCCATGATCGCTGCCATTGTGGTAATTTTGAGTATTCTGTAGGAACGTGAGGTCGATAATGTCCTGGTGCTCGCTGGATCTGTGGTTCTTCAGGTGCTAACAAAAGAGAAGTGCGGACTGAACAATGCGGAAGAAGTGGAGAGGTGGCTGATATTTGTGAGTATGTGTAGAGAGTGAACTTTTGTGGCTGGAAATGATGAGCAGGGTGAGGATTTATAGTGCATGAGAAGTGAAATGGAAGAGGGGAACACTGCCACTTGTCCCGGGGTCCGAAGTCACGCTGAGGCTCCACGTCGTAGTAAATTGCAGCAACGCTCCAGTCCTATGCCTGCGATTGGGTTATTACGGAAGTTTACCTGTGGCAGGAGCGGCGAGTTTACAGGTGGCAGGTCTGGCCGCGAGTTTTGAAGCTGCTGATTCTAGTTGCCATGTGTCACGAGCGATCAATAAGTGTACCACCTGCTACTTAAACCCAAAACCTGCGGAGCTAGAATGCACAACTGTGAACCCGAGGTACCACAATCACGATTTGGATAAGTTGTTTACAATTTCAATAATGAAGGAGAATTATACGGATCCTTCAGGCTTGATGAACTTTCATCTCTTGCGATTTGATTGAAGTATGTGGTGTTTGGAATCTCGGAACTTCAACTTAAACTTTCTTGGTCAGTAGAGTAAAAAATAGAGGGATTTTGTAATCATGTTCAGTTTGTTGTTCTGTTCAGTTCTGTTAGTTCTTTCTAATCTCTTGATTTTGCAGGATATCATCTCTGGTGATCTCTCTCCTCGTGGGCTTGTCCACACTCTTCCTAGCCACTTGACATCTGATGGATACCGATCAGCCGGCGAGCATCGACCAAGACAGAGCAGTTGGATTCGGACTAGAGGCTAGATGTCCTAGGCCTTGCTACTGGTAGATCCCATGCTCGCTGCCATCTTGCGTCGTTCCTGAACCTCAGCGAACTTCAAACGCAGATGGTTTAGTGGATGGCAGGTTCGACAAAAGCTTGCGGACGTGGACAGCGGAGGTTGAGGTGAAAGATCGCTGAATCCTCTTAAGTGTGAAATCCGAGCTTCCAAATGAATCATGGGAGGTGTCAAGATCGAGGTGCGACCTCCTCATGGAATATAATCGAGCTATACGCACTCACGGGGAGATGATGAACCAGAGGGAGCAACACTGCCAGTTGGCTCAGGCTCCAAGGCAATCTGTACCTCCACGTCAGACTAGACCTGGCAACGATCCAATGACATGTCTGCGATAAATTCCTTGGTCGTGGTGGTAACCACGCACTAACAGGTTCATAGTCTACGTGATTACTGCCACGCAGCCTGTTAACCTGCTACACCATGAAACGAAGTAAATAGAAAAGCGTCCTGAATAATTAATACTTCATATCCAGGTACGCTTCATTGACACCTGTGCATTCGTAATGCTGATGTGTAATGTAGGGAAATGCCAGTCGTGACAATAATAATGAGATTCGTGCGACGATGATCGTGTGGGGTATTGCTGAATCTCCTAACCTGGCAGGACGGAATAAGCTCTGACTATCTGATCTTCTGCTATTGTATTACTGTATTTGAAACATTCACTCGGGAATTTCGCGCAGGACGGAATAAGCTCTGACTAACTGATCTTCTGCTGTTGTATTACTCTGGTTGAAACATTCACTCGGAATTTCGCGCAGGACGGAATAGGCTCTGACTATCTGATCTTCTGCTATTGTATTACTGTATTTGAAACATTCACTCGGGAATCTCGCGCGATCGACCGAAGTTCATCATATACTTACTCTCCACATTTATACAGAATCGTAGCAGCAGAATGCCAATCTCAACCGATATTATTCACTAAGATGTCTGCAGTACCTGACCAAATCCAAACATGATTTTCAGGTTCATTGAATCTTCAATTCGAAGTTTTACGAATTGATTTCAGGTGCGAATCCTACTGACTCTAGGTTCAGATTACTTCTAGGCCGGTTTAGTTTCATTTGCAACATACGGATCTCTTTCAGAATAATATCGGACTTTCGTTTGATCGATGGAAGAGAAGAAGGCCCCTGCAAGCCGTCGGACTACACGCACACAGCCACCTGTTCTGGGTGCCAAGAGCACCACCACCTTCTACTCCTACTGCAGTCTCTGAGACGATGACTGCACGAAAACCCCACAGACCCAAACACATCGTCGATTGTTGGGAGGTGGACACCAACAGAAGCCAAGAGAAACCGTGAACGGGGCTCGAATTCTCTGAGCTACTCATGGAGAATCCAGCAATGTCTGTCATCCCTCCGAGCACCATGTCTTCTGGCTTCTTCAAATGCAGGAAGCGATTATCGACGACAAGATCAACGACCACCGCGTTTAACATTCCGCGTACTGCCCCTCTGACCAGGTGCCGCTCTCCCTGCACCCGCTCTTCTTCCGGCCGGCGGCCCCTGGGAGCGAGCTCTCCCTGCACCCGCTGCAGGCTGGGCAGGTGTACCAGGCGCAGCGGGCTGGGCCGGTGCGGCCGCAGCTGGAGCCGGTGGAGCGCTCTGTGATCGAGCCTGACTTTGACTGGCTGACGTGCGGTCTTTGCCCCGCCCCCTCCCTTCAGCAGCGACGCCTCCTCCTGCTCCTCCTCCTCGCCCGGAGCCCCGCCCGGAAGTCGCCCCGCCTCGCGGAGCGCTGGTCCCTCTGCCCGAGCTGGTCGTGCTGCCCGGAGCATTTGTGGCGGCCGAGGGCCCTCCTTCAGACCCCGAAGACATTGAGTCACCTCCTCCAACGCCGCCGCCCGGACTTCCGTCTGAGTCGTCGAGATTTTGTCGCGCCGCAGAATTATTCGCGGGGGCGTATCGGTTTCTGAGAAATACAGGAGGCGGGTACGGGGGAAAGACGTCTTGGAAGTACTCCAGGACATGGTAATGCTGGGCTAAGCTCTTCAATTGGGGGGTGAGTTCTTTCTTTATGTTCTTATCCCATTTGAGCTCGATCTCACCTTCCACCTCTTCTTGAGTTGGTACAGGGGCGTCAGATCTTTGGCCCCTGTGCGGAGAGTGCACCGATGGGCCCAGAGCCCCGTCTACTGTCATCTCGCCTCCTGATAATCCACGAGTTGTCAGATCAATTGCTATCCTTGCATTGTCCAATCTTACAGCAACGAAGAAGTACTCATCTACTTTAGCTTCATGACGAGGAAATTCACTCTCTCACTTCTGCCAGTGTCTTCATCATGGCGAGCACTAAGCGGACGTCGATCCTATGTTTGTGTTGAGGCGTGGAGGAAAGATGGACAACATGCATTTCAGAGGACCGATCATGGTCAGCGCATGAAGTCTATGACTTCACAAAATTCAAACCGACTGCGGGGACAAGTATCCCATGCGTCAGCACGACTTTCAAGTATAAGCTTTAAGCTGTTGTCTGAGCATTTCCACTGGCAGGAGTGAATCCCAAGTATCTTCTAAGAGGAAACGAAAGAACATCGTCAAAAGTGAGGGCGGGGGATGAGGAGTCCAGCTTTCACCTTCACCAGGTGCTTCTTGTGGCTGTACGTCAAGTTGCGGATCTGCGAAAAGAATTCCGTGGTCGGAACAAAAGATTAGAAGCGAGATGACAAGTCTCTTTCACCGTTTGTGTTATTCTATTGTTAGATCCCGGCATCAAAAACGAAAACTTCTATGACCTACTTGAGATCGGACTTTGTCAAATGCCAAGATAATCAGATTTCGAATTATTAGAATTTTCTAGAAGTATATTTGAGGCATGACTTGATAAAAGAAAAATGCGAAACCTGGTGATTCAGAGGGTTTCCTCTATCAAGCTGCCGCCAAGCAGAGCGAGGGCTCAGGCAACGGAGCTACCGAAACTAGTAATGAGCATACAGAAAATCGAGGTGCAGACACTTCGTGCTGCGCAGTGGAATGGAAAGCTGTAAGATCTCATTGATAGAGTGAGTCATAAATTGGCAGAAGGCTGGATCATGCACTCACCATTCAAGTCCTCACGTCTGAGAGCCAAATCTCTGAAGACATCATCACTTAGCCGAATCAAGGGATTCTGCTGTCGGAAATCTTCGACTTCTCTTCTGTATGTCTCCATTGCCGCTTGTGACGCTTCAACTATCCATCGAGGGTTGTTTCGGAGCGGGTTGGAAAAGCTATAATATGGCATATTGTGCGGCCGAGCAAGCATATTATTATAGTACGTGATGGCTTCCTGTCTTTGCTGTGTTCCTCTCCTAGCCCGATTGTAGACATTCCAATGCCACACGTAGTACCTAATCTGGACGAGCCAAGTTGAAATGATCTCAGACGGATATTACGTAGGTTACAGTTTTCTATTTTCGACTTCCCATAATATTCCGTTTCTACAACAAGGAAACCCGGAGCTCCTAAGCAACTCTGGAAGTATCGAAGCCTCAAAGTCAATGCCTGTCCATGTCTTGAACTCATATCTTTGTTACACTGATGCAACTAGAAGGAAAGATGAGAGGATTCTCGCAATGCTGAATACAGAGCTGACTGCTGCAATAGCCGAAATCATGGATGGAAGCTGCTATATGAAGGGCGAGATCTAGTGACAACGCAATTTCAACGAATGATAGGATATGAGCTATCGATAATCAAATATCTATGCTTACATATATCGTAAAGATTCGAGCATGGTTGCACTAGATTCACCTTCTTATCCAGAGTTGGATCGTCTGGGCCTGTCTTACATATGTGATTTTTGAATGTCTCAATGTGTCTCTTGTGGATCATGCCGTGAGAAAACCACGGAAGGAACAATCTTCTGGATAGGAGGTACTCACTGCGGCGTGCAACAAGAGATGAGTGAGGTCGTAAATTCGGCAACTTGCTTCTGATTCGCATACCATGTGAGTGTGGAAGGGCCATAATAAATAACCACATGGGTCTCATGGTATTTCATGGGCATGCAACTTGCATTCAAAGGAAGCTAGACATTCAACTGCTAAGAATTTAATATTGGCGTCGACCATGGCACGGAGGAGTTTACTCGCAGAGTTAGTTTCAACGCCATTAGCTTTAGCAAGCTCTAAATTAGGTCTGAACATTCTCGAGAACATGAACATGTTATGTTTCGATTTCTGGAAATCTACAGGTCAAGGAAGAAGTACACTCACTCCCAAAAGAGACTTTCTTCCAAGTCGAAAACTCGCCTCCTTGTTACTTCTGGCGCTACTGTCCGTGTCCGCATCTCGACAGGCACAATTTTTGTTCTCTTTGACTTTAGATTGAGCATTTTCTTTTGAATCTGATGAGGCAGGAGATCCAAACAAGTTAGAGAGGGAGTCCATTTCAAGCGTTAAACTACTCTGTGAATTATTCTTCTCAAAATTCGCGGACAGGACAGGAGTCAGCCAGAAATAGAAATTAGTCTTACTGAATTACTATTCATGCCGGTCAGATTCTCAACGAGCTTGAATTGCTCTTTATCGAGAAGCCAGTTTTGACCGCCCCAGAAATCAGTTCCATGCCTCTCCAGCATTTTTCTGTTGAAATGCAGAACACAATAATGTGGATCAGCTGATGCGGAAATTAGGAAGTCAGTGTCACGCTCACGATACCTTCATAATGCAGAGTTTTGGAATGAAGCCTTGAAACAGTCCCATGTTACTGCAGGTGAACGCTCAGCATATAACGCATCTTTATGCCATTCGGCTAATATTTTCTAAACAAACTTGAAACCCTAAAGACGATTTCGATATGAATATGCAATCGCTTATTGATAACAGGTTCCTTTTGTAGATGCAAATGTTTTTTCTTCCAGTCGCGAAGCATGCATGTTAGTTTGCCCTTTGTATCTGCTTTTGAGATTTGAACTCGACACCATGTCACGTACGTTGTTGGGCACAGTTCAAGGGAGAAACCGAAAAGGCTTACTTACTCATAAATGACGACGGATTCCAAGGTCCACTTGTATCTATATGGTTTGGCTGCTAGGACTGGATTATTTATGGCAAATTCCGGCGCTTCTGTGGTATAGAAGTTCAACATGGCTGTGATAAGCTGTAACACCCACCACAAAGTCACATGCGTTAGAACTCTATGTCTACCGTGGGCGACAGTTGATGAATGCGCAGATGTGTGATCAACTTTGTGAAAATAAATCTTGCTTGCAAAGGGATCACAATGATCGGTATATTATTCGTTGTTGTCGATCAGCTCTGAAGGGAGTCCAGTTCAGAGCTAGTTTCACGTCGATACTCTGCAAAGAAATCTGCAGGTAGCCGTCCGTTCGTTTGTTTGTGTCTGTATATGTACACATAAAAACTGAAGGGATCACCAAGTTCAGTTCATCATCGGTCTACAGCGACCATGCAGACCGTCCTCGCTCATAGATGAGTCTACTTGTACAGCTATTCATTCACGCATTCCTGGAAGACTGGTTCTTTGTATCCACGCGGTTAATTATTTAGTGAGACAAACTCTCGATGGCATTCAGGCGGAGTTGCAAGTGAGACCAGGCTCATGGTTCAGGATGAAAGTCCGAGAGCATTTGGAGAGCTCGGACGACGGAAGGGGCACAAGTACCCTTTTGAGGATGTGAATCAGCAGCTGTGAGTCGTTGATCCACATCGGCCCGAGCCGTCGGATGATCGTAGCATCCGTGTCGTTGAAATAATTCTGGCCGAGCCGATCCCTCCAGCACCAGCATCTCCATGCAGGGTCCAAGGGCTGTCGCGTCTCAGCAGCAGCAGTATCGGGTTGTTCGTGTCTGCTATCGACGTGCATGGTCTGAGGAAGTCCAGTGGTCTGCACCCATCGAATCCGTTTGTTGGAGACCAGGCTACTTTGGGATCATTCATACAAATGTACATGCAATCAATCGGAGAGCTCGATGCCCAAGCATGTTGAGGCCTATCGAGACTCGTCTGAGCCGCAGCCAGCGGTTGATAAGAGAAACCGCAGGGTCGAGAAAGGCAACTGAGACGAACGATCTGCGAGTCCGAGGTAATGTCCTGCGTATAAGAAACTCGACATGGACTGGGCGAAGGCGCTTTCAGCGTCCGACAGACGTCGACTCTTACTGGCGGACAGATGAAGAGGCGGCGCTACTCACATTGAACTCTTCGACGAGCTTCTTCGTCCGCTGGGTCTGGAACTGGTCCTTCACATAGTTATCGGAGCCCTTGGCGCCCGGCCAGCAGAAGGCCATCATTTCCTTGATGAACTTGTCGGGGTTGAGGATGGGCCAGGCGCGGTGCCCGTAGTTGATGCGCTCGTCCGCCGGGTCCCTGAGGTCCGAGATCCGAGGCCCTTCCCCGGCCCAGGACGGGTTGGTGTTCCAGATATCATCTCGGCCGGCGTCCTCGTACATCATGGCTTGCTCCGTCGCCTGTAGCCCCTCCATCTCTAGAGCAGCCATTAGGTCCTCCTCCTCCTGGTGCTCGCGGGCGATGGCCTCGTCGTTCACCGTTCGCGGGTCCTGGACTCCTCCCCCGGCCGCCGGCGCCAGTGCCTCAAAGTCCCCCTCCAGCCGTCTGGGGCTCGAAGGACCGCCGGGACCGGAAGTCCGAACTTGACGGTCGGCTCGCCGCCTCCACCGCCCCTGACTCGGCGTACCCTGGCCGGCGTCCGGCGTGGCCGAGGCCTCGCCGGACTCCTCCATCGGCCGTTTGCTTTGTCTCCTCTCATCGGCCTGTGTCAGGTCCTCCTCGGCTTGCCGGCGCTGATCCTCGACCTGCTTCCGCTGCTGCTCGCGAGCCTGCCACTCGAACAGCTGCTCCTCCTGTTGCGGGGAAGGGAGTTTGTCGGTCAGATCCTGCGACATGTCGCTCACGATCTTGTCTTGGCTCATCTGGGCCTCCGGGCTCAGCCGGCGCGCCGGCGATGGCGGCCCGGTGAGGAGGGGCGTCGGTGCAGGTGACCCGCCCACAGTTTCCACCGGGAACTGGGAACCCGGGTCCACATCCGGGTATAGCTCCATCTGGAAGAACGGCGTCAGGGTGCCGGCGTGCGGCCCCTGGAGCAGCAGCGACAAGAACTCGGGGTTGGCCGTGCTGAAGTCGTCCTCGGGAGTCGGCGCCGGTAAGGACGGCCTCTCCGACGAGTCCAGGGCGAGGGCGGGGACCGCCACCTGTCCTTGCCGGTCCCTGGTGTGGGAGGTAGACGCCTCCCACACCAAGTAGTCCTCCCACGACGTGTCCACACGCGTCGGCGACTCCAACAGTTCCTGGAACCCGCCCACGGGGTCGGCCGGTACTGGCGTGGGCCCCCCGTCGCCGCTGGCAGACGGCGAAACCACCTTCATGTACTCTTCCACCGAGAGGGGCTGGACGTTTCTGTCGGGCGACGCATACGGTCGTATGGCGGGTGATCCGTCTGGCGGGCCCCACTCTGTATGTCGAGTCCCACAGTGTCCACCAAGATATAATCAAACCGATGCCCTTCTTTACATAAAGACCTTTAAACCCTGTGCTCAAATTCGTGTCTCCCCGACCGCGTTCGAGCTAACCGTGGACGCTACCACGACTACAGTCCATGAGATACTACGCTACCGACGTTTGATACGGAGCTACCACGAGCTGCTACGACCTATGATCCGGTCGCTTCGTTCCCCGACACACATCACCACTGACCGCACGAAGAGTGAACAGGAAAACAATTCGAGCTCCGGAAGCATCAGCGTTGTATGCGTGGTACTCTCTTATATACATATATTGTATAAAGTAATAAATGAAATTCATTTAGAGTATCTTTTAAAAGGTGAATGTACGTCTGGATAGTGTCGCCGTAAATATATCACTTTCGGAGTTTGTATCTCCGCACTCGGCCATCGATTTTTCGGGGCATCGCATGGATGATGAGAAAGGTCCTGCTGAGGACATGAATCGTGATCAGAAAACGAGCACACTCACCGAGCTCGCCGAACTCGATGTCGTTGATGTCGATGCCACCGAATTGACCGGGCTGAGTGGGGTCCGGTGACGGGGATCTGGGGGCTGCTTGCGGGGCTCCTTCCTCCCCTGGCTCTAGCGGTGTGTTGGGTTCGTCCGCTGGTGGCGGCTGTCCTCTCGGTGGACTCAACCCGACGGCTTCTGAGGATCGGAACACAAAGTCAAATTCGCACGGTCAGTTTCCAAGGCATAGACGAAAGAGCCTCTGAACAATAATAGAAAAATAATATTGTGAAGGGATCGGAGCATGATTATTGGGAGAGGCGAGAGCACGAGGTATGGATATGTGAAAATATCTACATATGAGTAAAGCAGTCCACAGCATGATTATCTGGAGAGGCGAGAGCACGAGGAGGTTTGTTCTCTCGTAGGCTCTGAGCACGACGGTCACAAGATTAGATGGACGGGGTGGGATTGCAGGCGCACCTTCCATGCGGCGCAAGCAGTCTTCGTTGTCCGCCAGGTCTATGTCAAGAAGTCTCCTCCTGCCGGCAAGCATGTCTGCTAGTCGTTCTCTCCATAGAGCCATGACCTGCAATGAAGCTTCGTAAATCCACACAACGTCGGTGTTCTCCGGGTGAGTTTCATCATAGGGTGGGCGGTTGCGCCGTGAGGCAAGCATGTTGTAAAGCTGAATGGCCTGTTTCCGCTGTTGAGGACCTCTTCTTCGTCCAGTCGTTATCCAGTGATTAACGTACACTTCGACCTGGGCATGCCAACATGCGCAGAAGATGAGTTCACCGAACGAATAGAGGAAGAAATATTGCTCTCCTAGTTACCGAACCCTCGACTATCCAGTCTAGCTCTAGCAGTGCAGTTCCTCCTTGGCCTCTCGTGTCTATGGGGTTTCTCCAGATACATGCATGGTCTTCATCGCCTACATATATATTTACTGCCACGGCGATGTGAATCACAGTCACTACTGAATATGTGCTCATAAAATTCCCCGATAGCGTTACATTTACAGCATGGGCCTAATGTTGCAATGATAGGATTATATATTCAATGGTCTTATTCCTCGATAACCAAATTTAGAAATGGAGGAGTGATTGGGCTGTAATTAATACTGCTGCTCAAAAAAATTTGATTTCTCGATCGGACTTCAATCAGAAAGTTAACTTGACGTCATACTTCAAGGAACGGAAGTTCTATAAAGCGAGTAGAGTTCATCATTCATCTGAATGATGTTTTGGTATGGAGCCTGATGCTGCTACACAGTTTCCATAATCCATCGTTGGCTATGCTTTGAAGAAACCTTACCCCCAGTTTATCATAAACTGCATGTTACCTAGCCAGGACTATATCACAGAACCTGGTGCGAGTCTCAACTTACATATGTCTGTTCTCGCTGTTGCTTAGGCTGATATTTTCGATGCCGATGTGTTTCTGTTTTCAGTAAGCTAGGAAATCTCCGTAAACTAATTTCTACACCTTGTATGATCACTTCCACCGGAGGCAAGAACTTGCATATATTTGCTTACTTGTGTTCTCGCAGTAGCATCACTCCTGAGTCTTTCAGATGCGATGGCGGATAAGAACTCAAGATGCGTCGCTTCAGAAATGTTGATAACGCCAAACAGGGGATCCAGCAGGAAACGGGGCAGCAGATATTCGCTGCAGCACAGAAGTGAGCAAAAATCAGAATCCAAAAATACTTCGTGTACGAGGGGTACAAGAAAAATTTACCATTCTGCTAAATTCAAATCTTTACTCAATGTCTTGAAGCATGAAAATTTTCAGTCTGCTTTTTTGGAACATAAGATGTGCTTAAAAGCCTAGTTAAAGGAAAGACATCAACACAATTCATGTTTATGTGGAAATCAATTTTCATTTCAGAAATAGCCAAGGATAAATTGCACCGGTTGGGACTAATTTTTTTATTAATCTTTGCGTCGTATCCCTCAAGAATTTTAATTTCACTGGATGAGGATCATTCACTTAAAAGTTGATTCAATCTGTAAGTTAATTCCTAAATCAGAATGATAGAGGAACTTATTATAGCTCAAATATTCAGTTCAAACAGGAAAGACCTTGCACGTCCGACAGCAGAACTGAGATATCCGAAAAGGTGGTTAGTGCATAAAGGAAGTAATATATTCAATTAAAAAGTGTTCCCTAGGTTCAGTAAAACCCGAGTCATCTATATATTCTTTCTTCTTCTCTCTCATTTGGTAAATATATATACATACATAAAAAAAGTCATGAATATATACATATATATATATATATATACATGAATTTTTTAATTAATTCATTTAAATATTTTGACCTGCTTTTAATGGTAATATGAAGCAAGATTTGACATAAAACGCAAACTCCCTGTGAAAGCATTTCATCATAGAATCTAAATCTCGACCTCACAGTGGAACTGAAAAAGCACTTTAACTTACTCCCAATACAGTTTTTCTATCTCCGTCAAGCCCTTTGCAAGATCGGGCTGAAGCTCCCTTCGAATATTATCGTCTCGGCTTCTTTGAGTAAGTCTGTTTTTGATCTGGAAAACAAACCAAAAATGATGACGAAAACGCATTTATCATAATGAGAACGGTGTATGTGTCAGATGTCTGTTTCTACTATCCATACTATACTATTAATATAAGATTTTCAAAGAAGGTTATTGATTACATGTCACCTTAACATTGCATATTAAAGTGACATGATCTTGGTCCAGGATTCCCTATACAGTGACGAAGCTGATGTATTTTACGTTAGTGAATCTATTGATTGAATTTCAGGATTACGTCCTATAAGAAGAAGGTGATAAAAGTGCGCCACTGACTGGCAGCAAAGTTGAATCAACGCTTCTATTAGGATTAGAAAGAAGCCGGAACGAAGTCCAGCGATACTGAAATATATGGTGGGAAGCTGAAATGTTAGCTGAGCTGAATCTTACACGCTCCGTAGTCATGCCTGTCAGTTCGCTGAGAAGCTTTCTGTCAGGCACTCGAAGGCTGTAGTTCTTTCCTCTGAGGGCGTCATATCCTCTTCTTTCCATCATTAATCTGTTCAAAATAATAGAATCGGTTGAGTCTATCTGTCGGGTTCAGTCCAGGGGCAGACATGAGCAAAAATCCACTTACCATCACTCCGATTTTCCTGAAACCAGGACTTCTATCATATGGCTGATCACCGGAGCACGTTTTTTGTTTCAATTGAAGGGTCGAAAAATGCATGAGCAAAAAAATAGTCTTTGAATCAATTCATTTGCTTTGAAAAAGAAAAACAAGAATTTCATGTTAGTTTTGTGGGCAATGAGCTCTCTCGATAGTAGTGAGTACACGCCCCTTTAGAACTGCAGACTCATTGAGTGTGAACTACCTCATTTTTGTCTCAATTGATTGACTACTTAGGCTATTACTGTGATTCTAAGCTTCAATATGATTCCGATTGCTCCACTCAATTTGCGATGCCGAGGAACGAGGCGGCGACACATTCGGAAGAAGTTCAAGCTTCGGGACAGCTGCTACTCCACAGCCTCATTCCTTGCTTGTTGCCGAGAAAAACGGTATTTCTAATTGTGCCCGGATGCTGAACAAACATATCCACGACCGCTTGATACAACAAGTCCTTAAGGACCTAAATGAGAAGCTCGAGTAAGAGAACTTGGCAGGTATCCGTGTCTTTAAATGAGGAATAGGCAGAATCGTCAGACCAGCTTAAAAATCTGAAGAATAGACTTAAAACATCACGACTAGCTTGCCGGGTGGTAGATTAACGAGGAACACCCTGCTCAAGGATGGCATTGTCGAGGCCGAATAAGGGAGAATTTTAGTGCAGTATTGGAAATCACAGACGATGGGTCTGAGCAAACTTACTCGAAGAACTCAATGTAATCTGCTGGCCATTTGTCATCTCGTGTGTCCGGTATCACATCTGGATGCCTTTGAAGAAATTCTGGAGATCTTAGGTAATAAAGTACCAACGAGACAACGAGCTGGTTTCCAGCAACACAAAGAAACGCATCAGATGATTTTATGGGCAATATCAATTTGGTTGTAAGCAGAAGACGGTATCTTCAGCTCGTTGACCTCATTTCTCACGGAATATATATTCTCACGGAATTCTTCCTCTTAATGTTACTCGCTTAAAGTCTTAAATATCATTGAGCCTGACCGTATTTAAAATCATGACGGCTCACTTCAAATTCATCTTTGTACAAAAACCAATGTTACACTGAAGGAGTATTATTAATCTGAAACACACAGAGGCAGCCATCTTATGTTAAAACAACTATCAAAAGTTCTAAATATAGGCCAAAGATAAATATAACTATATTTAAACATATTGATGACAAAACTGAAATAGAGGAGCACTGTACTAGAATAGTGATCAGCTGTCAAGAAAATTGAACGCAAAAACAACAGGAAAGATTATAAAGCATCGACAGAATACTCGACTTATCCAGGACAACGGTTGGATGCTCTTGAGATTACAGAAACAGATGCTTATCGCGCGAGTGGTTAGCACATTCTTTTGGTGTGTGCTCCCGGAGTTCCTCAATTTGTCCTTTCAGGCCTCGAAGTTGAGCCTTCAGTGATGGTTATTGCAAGTCCTTGCAGAAACCATCACGGCGAGAAGCCGTTTCGAATAGATTGTGCTTACGAGAAACACGGCGACGCACGGAGCCATGGGAAAGACTTCGTGAGTATCTTGTGAGTGAGTGATGTTGAAACTTAGTGACTTCATTCTGAAACTTGCGGAACGATGTCTGGTTAAAGAGTACCCGTTGGAAGAGAGAAATAAGTTTTGCTGAATCGTCAATCCACAGCCCACCGAGTCTTGTGATGATTGTAACATCCGTGTCATTAAAATAGCTGTCGCCGAGTGTATATCTCCAGCACCGGCATCTCCATGCAGGATTTTGGATCTGCCTTGCAAGATCGGCAGAAGGATTGCGTTCTTCGTGGTGGAAATCATGGTGAATCGACTGAGGGAGTCCATAAGCCTGCCCCCATACATTAAGCGGCGTCATGATGATGTCTTTCATGATGATGCCTTTCACCAGATTAAATCCAAAAGCTAAAAAATCGAAACCCAAATATTTGGACTGAATGTCGATCAGTGGAAGCTGACGTCTCTTACAGTCCCTCGTTTGCAGAGACCTGGGAATGAGATGGTGGGCATCGAGCTAACCTTAACCTGCAAGAACGACTAGCAGGACAATACACGAGCTAAACAATGTGCTCGGACTTGACTGAGCGTGGACTCTGTAAACTACAAGTCCGTAGTTGCAAGTCAATGAACATTCAACGGCATTTACTACTCAAAAAGTGCGTGCGCTCCAGAAACAAATAAGCTGGGTGGACTTGGAGCTGCTAAATTTTACTTGAGTCAATAAGTGCTCAGATGTCACAACGGGAGGACTAACCACTGCAGTAGTGCTGACCGTAGCCATCGAGGATTTTAGACGGTGTTCGGCATGAATTACCTCGTAAGCTCAGCTCAGGAGGACAATTCTAAAGCACCGAAATATTGTACTGCTAACGCTTCATCTAGCATTGTTTCTACTGAATAAATTTTGTAATTATTTATCGAGTAATAAAAATACGCCTTGATATTAAAAAACTCATGTATGTATATATATATATATATACATACATATAAGACCTTAAATTTTAGGGTTGAAAAACTTCAATGGAAACCGAGCCCAACGGCGAAGGGAGTGCGACTAATAAATCTCGAACGGTGGTTCGAGATTTATTAGTCTCTAAAATAAGGCCGCAGATCTATACCATTTCATGAGAGTACACTCGTTGGCACTACTCACGTTGTATTCGTTAATGAGCCGGTTGAGTCTTGTCAGCATCCCATGATCTGTTCTCCAGCTCTTCCTGGGGTTCGTGCCGGGCCACAAAAATGACATCAAACTCCTGACGACTGAGTGCGGGTTTGTTACGGGCCAAGAGCGATGGCCGTAGTTGATGAGCGGCGAGCTCGGAAGCAGCAGGTCGTGGAGAGAAGGGCCCGAATGCGGCCAGATGATCGGCTGCCACACTTGCTGCATCAGTGGCAGCTGCGCCGGATAGTTGATCGGAGGCCGTCCGATGGTCGGCATCTGAGCCTCCTCCCTTCTCTGTCGCGCTTCGTACAGCTGCGCTTCTCTGGACATATGCAAAAGCCTCCCACCGGCTAAGGTCACCGTCTTACCTGGTACGTAGTCCGCGGTCTGGGCTCGGCGTTCCGGCTCGGGGAGGGCCAGAGGTGCTGCTGGCCCGGGCGCTTCGATGGTTCCTGCTTCTGCGGAAGACGGGAGGCCCGGAGGTCCGGGAGGTCCGGGAGGTCCCGAAGGTCCCGCCGGTCCTGGTAGACCCTGAGGTCCCGCCGGCCCTGGTAGTCCCGGAGGTCCCGCCGGCCCTGGTAGACCCTGCGGTCCCGCCGGTCCTGGTAGACCCTGAGGTCCCCTCGGCCCTGGTGGTCCCGCAGGCCCGGCAGCCGCGGCAGGCCCCGGAAGGCCCGGTGCCCCTGGAGGCCCCTGTAGTCCTCCGGCTCCAGGTGACGTTGGTGTGCCCGGAGGACCACCGGGGCCCGGCGGTTTGGGTAGATAAGAATTATCTGTCAAGCTGCTTCGTCGCAAACAACGAGGGGTCAGAAACTCAGAAGCAGATCGATCTCCAAGAGACAGCGAGAGCAAGCAAGTCACAGATCCATGGAATCCAGCGTACTAAGTGTGCTCCGGGACGACACCAGACTTGTGTGCACTTGTGTTCTAAGGGACCCTCCTGACAGGGTTCCGCCTCGGACAGATACATACATCGTCACGTAAAATCTGGCTGAGTTGCGGTGGCTTACCATCCGGTGAGACTCGCCATACTTCCGACTGCCCATGGCAGTCGGAAGCCCGCTCTGGTCGTGTCGCGTCTCCTTCCATCTGGAGATCCTTCTCCGTCACTCGAACTCCACGAATCTTGCCTCAAAAAACTCATTTTGTTCTCTAGCTCACGGGGCAAGCCTTCGGAATGGGCACGGTCAAAACTTCTTCTTGTGATCTAGTGCAAAAAGAGAGCGTACGTGGACTGATTCTATCTTATCTTCACCCCTCTCTCCAGATCTCTAGACCGATCCTGACTCTTTCTGTGCTCCAGATAGCAATCTCTGTGCATGAAAAATCCTCAAAATGTCGGGCAAATATTTACTCCTCGCCATCACCCGCAGTGTACAGCAAGTGCTTCTAAACCAAGGTCAATATAATATAACGAAGTTGAAGCATCGACTGCACTTTCTGAGAAACCGAAATTTCTACTCAATCAATCATCATCATTATCCTCACCCCGATCACTCGCATGTGTAGTAATTTAATAATATCAAACATGTCACAAGCATAATTCTATTACGAGTATTCCATCATATTTGCCAACAGCTGTGCGAGTTTCAGAAGCTCTCACCTTCGAGATGGGCAATCCATCTACCGTGACACATATCCGATGTATCCGATTTGTCATACCTTTCGTCCGCCATCGTGATAGATACCGGGCCTCGTCTGGACTTCACGGAGCGAGTGTGGAGGAGACGTGGGCGCAGTTCCTCTTCCATTTTCGATTCAACCGTTGAGCCATCATCTTCGCTGCACGACATCCTTGGTCGCAGAGATAACGCTCCCTTCCATTTCCGATGCTGCTAGATATGACAGATTCTGGAATCACTGCGTAGAGCTTTTCAGGTGAACGAACTAAATCCGAGAGTAGTATGCCAAGAGCGGATCGGTGGTCTTAGCGCGACTCTTAGAGAGACGTAACCATTGGCGTTTGGGAGAATTGCGCCGGTAAATGTGGGGCGGATTCCGACTAAAAATATAACCGGATTCAGTATCGACGAGGAATGCAATTTTGAGTTCAACGACGACGCTGTGGAGGAGATCTATGATCGATGGATGCGACACATCGGCTTCAAATCGATAACGATCTGTTTCATCTGAAATTGTCTGGACCTGGGCCGGACCTTATGATCATAGCCTTGCTTTGGATAATTGCACATTGCTTGGACGATGACCGATCGGAAGAACCATAAAAAAATTGCCCCGAACTTCCTCTACGCAATTAATACGGTCAAACTTTCTCATTGCCGCTGTAAATGATCTAGAATATCAGTCAATAATCGGCAGAAGATCGGCTTCCAATCTTCGATTTGGTAATTTACAGTTGGCACAACTAATCTGATGATTTTGCCTGGCCAAATCCTCATTATACAGTCAATTTCTCCCAGATGATACACGTTCAGATGCCTTGAAATGTTGATGATACTTAAAATAAGTATCAACATTGAAGATGGCACTAATATCTAATTCCCTGCTTTGACCCACCAGTATATGATTTCAATTGTGAGGAAGAGCTGCCACGATTAAAAATATGACGTGAGGCTAATAAAGTTTAAGATTGCAGATAGACCTTTGTTGTGGACAATCGTTGAAGTCGTCGACGTTCTGAATGACATCATGTCAACATTTTGCAGCATACCATTTATGTATTCCTTGTGAAGATATCTTTCATGGTGACACTCAATCTTAGAAAAATATCCTTCTTCAATTGGGAAAACCTCAACTTTTTAATCGATTCATCGGAATCTCCAACACAATCAATGTGCTGTGTTTGAAGTTCAGCTTGATGAAGATATGTTCGTCCAAGAAGCTTACATGTACTACCTAATCAACGAGCTTCTCAGTTCTACTACCCTTAAATAATCAAACGAAATTGATTACTATTATCTTATCCTTCTCTGTTGTATATCTCAGGGCTATTTTCCCCATGTAAACAATTTCCTTATCTCTAAGATTCTTTGGAATGCGTAGATCTATTATCCAGTCTTTCAAGGCTGACCTCTCTCTTATCTCCAGCTACTACTGGATATAACGATATCAATAACCAACATTATTAATAAAAAGTATGAATAATCGACTCATCTCGCTTTCACTATTTCTCAACATAGATAATTCCTCCCAAACAACAGGTTAATTACTCCCTGTTAACACTAGTACGACAATTCTATCTATTTAGATTCCAGATTCACTAATTTATCTACAGGATCCAAATTATGTGGTGAGACCATAGTTCTCTCAATATACAATCATTCATGGAAATTTTCTATCTCCACCTCAGATCAATAAATTCAAAGAGATGTCCACCATAGATATCATGAAATGACTGATCGTTTGACGGATATAACATATTAATAGAGATTTTTAGCAGATGGTCAGTCTTTTAAGAATGCAGATAGACCTTGTTGTGGAAGTTTAAGTCAAAATTGTATATGTTTTGAATCACATCATGAGACATTTTCCAGTTTATATCTATATTAAGATGTCTTTCACAGCGACATACTAAATCTTAAAAACTTTAATCTATTTCAACTGGAAAACCTACACCGCTTAATTGATTTCACTGAATCATCAATCAACCACAATCAATTTTTTGTGTTTGAAGTTCAACTTGAGTAAGGTATTTTTCTTCGAGAAGCTTACATGTACTACCCAATCAATGAGCTTCTCAGATCTAGTATCCTTTAAGATTCAAACATAATTTATTACTAAATTCTTATCCTTCTCTCTTGTATATCTCCAGGCTTGTTTTCAAAATTTAACCAATTTTCCTATCTCTGGAAATCTTTGAATTACGCAGAAATATTATCTAGCCTTTTAAGGCTGACCATTCTGTTACGTCCAGCTACTGATGGATATGAAGATATCCATCACTAGCCTTATTAATAAAACGAATGAATAGAAGTCACTAGTCTCGCTTTCACTATTTTTCAACATAGATAATTCCTACCAAAAAACTGAGTAAGTACTCCCTGTTTACACTGGAGCGAATATTCTACTCTATTTCTATATCTTTTCTACAAATGTATTTACAGGATCCAAATCACGTGTTCATACCATAATTTTCTCAACTTACAACCTGTTTATTTAGTCATGGATCTTTTCTAGCTCAATCTCAGATCAACTAACTAGAAAATAAATCCACTATAGATATCATGAAATGACCGATTTTTTGACTGGAGGTGCATATTGAATGAGATTATTAGCAGATGTTCAGTCTTCTACAGGGAGACCGCTCATGAACCAGCTCACTCCTCAATAATGTGATTGATAAAAAAAAATTTCAGTTAGCATCCTTCTGATATCCTGTGTAATCGTTCAGATATGGTAGCTGCTAATGGGATGTACCCAATGATAATGAATCGAGAGAACCACGACCTTCCTATAGCTAGAACGAATTACTAATCATGATCAACATTATCTACCATAGCTGCTGGATGTGTGCCATCCTGTGAGGAATTCAAAGTCCTTAGACTGTTGTAAACTACGGAACAATGTCTAAACGCACGTGCGGCTTCATCACAACATGTACAGAAATTAGAAGAATCGAACTAACACAACTACAAAACCGTATTCCTCTCACTGAGAAACGAATCTGAGTAATTATGAAGTCTACTGCCTCTTAGCCAAAGAAGGGGAGGCATATATTAGTTGAAGGGCTTTACACTTCAAAGAGACAATGAAAAATTCCCATTGTCATACTTCTAACTTTTTAAGTCAATAGAGCTTCAAGAAAAATTCTAAGATTTTAGGTCGATCTACACATATTTCAGCTTTGATGCACGTTTCTTAAATTCCACATACTTGAATACTCAATGACAAGACCCTTTAATGTTGCTTTTGGGAAAAAAAACTGTTTCATTTTATTAGGAATTGCATCATTTGTATGAAGTTATAAACATTCGGCACCTGCTACAGGTGGAAATTAACACACATCACATTGATGGTGTTGATTTTACGATCTTGAAACCAAAAAGATCCAAACATGAAGGAATTTGCCTTCTAGCACCAGTGATGGGTTTGTCCTAATGGTAGCAACAAATTCCATCTGGCAATCATTTTTACTTTTGATGAGCATGCAGCATTTATCAAACAAAATGTCTTCCAAACTGAAAGTGTGAAGTGTCTTGCGTCGTGTGCAAGGGTTCTAAATATTCAAGAATACTGAATCATACTTGAAACCCATGGGCCAGGCATGATCAACTGCTGGTTATCTTACTGAGATCACCTTATTAATGAAGTGAAATTAAAGAACGAGAAAGCGGTTTCATGAGCTGGTGTACATCTTACCGATTGTGATTTTAACTATGGAGTAACTAACTGTTACTACATAGTTAAAATAAGTCGCATGCAAGTTCAGTCTATTTGACTGAAGCCCATGATGTCTTCACCACAACAAACTTCACACATGATTGTTCTCCGAAAAATAGACAATTCAAATAAGTGAAGCTGGTCCTATACAACTTCAATTCTTCTGATTGAAGACAATGGTATTTTCAGAAGCATAATTTCTACATACTCGCCATAAGCAAAAGCATCGATCCAAAAAAATTGTCTTGTGCAGACGACCAACAAGCAGTGCTGAACTCATTGGCAAGTTCGATTCATAAGCTTATCCGACACGATGATAAGCTCAATTCAGTTTCTAAGACAATTTATCAAACTAAGGTCCAATTGCCTTGACGCATCTTTGACTCGTCATAGATGCTTCCTGAACTCTAAAGACGAGAAAGACTATCCACCAAAATTCTAGTAGAGGCCTGGAAGATTTTGCATGTACAAGTAGAAATGTCGACTTGTACATGGTACGACTCAAAATAACTATTTGGACCACCAGCTCCCATGCCAACGGGAATCAGCGAGAACATCGTAGACACACATATGCCTCCATGGTGGCCACCTGCTCTTGGCTCAGCTTGACACACGACGGGTGGAACCAGTCGCTGCACATCTCGCACTGGACCATGAAGTGATCGGGATTATATGGCATTTCGCATATGCAGTAGACATCCACACTGTCTGGCGAGAGCGTTTGCGAGGCCGCCTGGTATTCAAACCTCCAGAAGTAGTCATGCTTGTCCACTTCCTTCAGCATACAGTAGTCCTCGAAAGTGTACACCTTGCACTTCCCTTGGATGCAATCTGCATCCTGTGAGTCAAAATGATCAGACTTGCACAGCTCCTGCTCCCCGTGAAATGGCCTACGTCCACAAACGGTTTCCTCGGGATGGTAGAACCAGCGGAGTTTCACCACGGTCTTCACTTTATCGCTGGCTGGAATCTGCTCAATCTTCTCAATCCTAGCAACGTATGGACTCTCTACTCTCTGCGGAGCACGGATCAGCACGCAGTCACCTACCTTCACCACATTGCGCGAGCCTGGGATCTTGTAAGAATCTACTGTTGTCTTTGTCAACTTCTTCGCACCACTGTCCACGCCATTCTCCGGGATTAATTTCTTCGGCGTGTTTCTTCGCCGCCCTGCACTCTGTTGCGACGGCAGAACGCTGGTGGGAGACCCGCTGCTCAACCTCGTCTTCATCGGGGACTTCGTTTCACGAGCTGCAACCAGTGAGCGCAATTCCCTCTTCTTCATGACGCAGGACGTCCCGTTTACTTATTCACCTGTCAATATCGAGGTCGTGACGTCCATCACCTCGACTATATGATCTTTCGATTAAACTCCCAAAGCTTTGATGAATTGATAAGGATATACATATATAGCCAGAAAATTTGTCAAAATGCTCCGTTTCTCTTGATTATCGAATCGAGTTAGAATGGTACGACGTCGTTGTGGCCCAGGAATCTCACTGCTGAAAGGAACCTTAAAACATGCACATGTCCCTGTAGCACATGCTTAAAAAGTTCCTCCACATTATGTTCCTAATGACGAGGACGCAGACTACATCAAGCATGTGTCACAACTCATCATCACTTTTTCTGTGCCACAAGGATCTCTTTCGTCATTTGATACTTTATTATTGGAAAACTCTTTCTATATCTATAGATCTCTTTTATGCGTTTAAATGTATGACCCAAGGACTATGCTTCGATACATTCTTGAGTACCGTGGAAAACATTAACTGTAGAAATTTTACTAACAAGAGTATCGCTTTCGTTCACTCTCCACCTCTTACCATTTGCATTCAATGTAGCACCACGAAATCATCCGCTCTCAAAGCATTCGAGGCTTCTATCAAGGTTGCTTAGATGAACATAAATCTCTAGTTAAATACATTAAGAATGTGTTATTTTTCCAGGACTTGGCCTGGGCATTCAAAACCCTATTGAAACGGATCCACTCATAGCCAGGTCTACAACAATCCTTCGCCACCATTTGAGTAGGTGGCGAAGGATTGTTTGTTTGATTTGAAGCTGCATGTCGTTTGCATACAAACCATAAGCCACAAAATGTCTCTCTTCGAATTCAGCGCAGGGTTTGGGTTCGGCCTCGGAATCAGCTCCGGCGAATGGAAGATGCTCACCTCGATAAGATTCGACCGAACCTGACTCGGATAGAAGGGTTGGGCACAACAGCTGCAACTTCCGCTAGTCGGGGCGGCACGTTCAGCTCTCGCTCACTCGCGCGCGTCCGTCTGGATCCTCGTCGATCGAGCTCAGGTCCTCCTGCTCGAGCGCATCACGGACGATGGCAATCGTGAACCCTAAACAGCGCACAAACAAATCTCAAGGAAAAAGGGAGCACGACAGATCGGTCGCCTTGTGGATGAGAAGACCTGCGACAGCAGTCATAGCGAGCACCGTGAAACCCATGCAAGAAGCCCGAGGCTGGACTGAATTCGATCCCTGCTCGCTGCTGCTTCTGCTGCATGCGCTGAATGTGGGACGATCGGGCCGCCGAAATCAAGTCTAAACGATTTTCTGCATACGGAAGGCGAGAGGCATCCGTACGGCCGAATGATGGCCGAGCGATGGAGCGTGCGAGCCATGGGCGCCGCGTGAGCGATGATGGCGAAATGGCATCTTCTGGTCGATGGGTTCGTGCGAGCTCCCGAAACACGCCCGAGCTTCGACATTCGTAGCCCTCTGCGGCATCGTCTAAGCCAACGGTCTCTCGTTCCCGAATCTTATGCCGGATTCGGGTCGAGATTTCCCAGTTTTACTAATAATACAGATTGGTTGAGGAAGGTAAGGTTACAACGAACCAGAAAGAAATGATTCTTACTAAAAGAAAATTGTTTAATTCAATACTATTATTCTTGTTAGATTTTTTTTCAAGGTTTTCAATGAGCAGTTAATTAAAAAGACCACAATGATGTGACAGTGTTAATTCATTTTGCATTCTTGAATATTTTTAGCAGTACAATAAAATTGATATATTATTAGGACATATAATATTATTATATTATCAATTTAAGATAAATAAAAATTAATAATAAAATTTTATTAACATATTAAACGATAGCTAATTGTTCTTAATAAAGAAGTTAGTTTTGAAGGTTTTAAAAATTTTAGTTCGATAGAACACGTCAACTATTTCAAACCAATACATTTTACCATCATTAACGATAATCTGAGACATGCATGTTGAATATTTTTATAGAATAATGGAATTAAAACGTAAATGTTTTTTAGCGATTAACTTTTTACTAAAAAACTTAACGCTCATTATTAACGAAACGAAATATATGAGCTTCAAAAGTATAATTAAGTGAAACATGAGGAGAGTTTCCTTCATGTATTGTGGAGCTTCTAGATTTTTCTAACTTGTCATGCATTACTCTGCGTATACTCCGATTGTGGTTCTGTAGTTTCGTTGAAGAGCCTGGTTTCATCCCCTGAGTCAAAGCTCGTCAACGATTTGAGAGATAACAGAAGTATGTCTAGAGTTCGTGACGAAGGTCATAGTTCGAAAGTAGGTGTGGAAGAATAATTATCTCAACTATTACACGTCACTATCTGGAAGATTTCCAAAACAGCTGCATAGTCGAAGCCAACTTGTCCCAGACCGGCAACATTATCGACATCTAGGTCTGTGTATGTGTGCAAAGTACCATCGCATGTGATAGGCCTCGCTGATGATTCCTTCATGAAGTGCTGATGTCGCACCAACTGACAATTGTTGGTATAATGTGGGATATCATGGAAAGTCAGTGTCCCTGCATCTAACATGATATACAGACAATCATTCCAAAATCATCAGTGATAGTTTAACTTGTAATTCGAGACACATTCAAAACTATCTAACATATGATTTGGTTACTGACTTAAAAATTCATGTCTTGATTTTTATATACATTGATACGCAATTATTATCATGAAGAAACGAAAGATGATATGGACTTTGCTGTAGAAGAAATTGAGCCAAAATAAAATCAAGTGGAACCTCATCAGATTCTTGTATTACTTTCTTTTGACTAAAAGTAGAATAAAAACACAACGTTCATAAATTCTTACGTTTTCGTTTCTAAATCATTTTAATAGTACCAAAGAGAGTGAGCAGATGCCATTTAGTGGATGACTTGAAGCCTGATGATCTTGATGATGTTGTTGCTCTTGAGGATTCCGCATTCTAAAACAGCAGTAGTACAGAGAGTCAGGACATCGATGAGAGCAGAAGACCGAAAAGCTTTGACGAGTGCAGTTGAGGAGAATGTGGGTAGGATGATACACAGAGAATGCAGAGAGACTAGAGAAAGAGGATGCGAAGAATCAACATACAGAGAACAGATGTTCACAAAATAAGAGGAGCGAACTCAGAGAGAACAGGCAGTAGCGAGCAAAACGAAATCGTAGCCGTACTGAGACCAAGTCCATTGCTGATAGAAGAGCAAGAGGGTGAAAAGTGTGGACGGAGTGTGTTTGTGAGAAGAGAATGAACAGATGCTAAATGAAGGTGGAGAATGATCGAATAGAGAATAAATATATAGAAGAGAATAAACCGGCAAGAGTATGTTCTTACAGAATGGAAGAACGATGAGAATGATACAGCAGGAGATAAGAGCAGAGAGGCAGATCAGAGCAAGAGAGAATGCAAACAAAACTCGGAGATGGATTGTATGAGCAAATATTCAATTTGAACTGTATCCGTCTGTTCCTGCTTGGCTGTATGCTGCAGAGAGTGGACCGTCATGAATTGTCAGTTGTAGAAAGATGACTAGTATTATGGTCTGAGATATTGGATAAAGCATCTGGAGAGCTGATTGAGCCGATTGGATTGGGCAGACGACATGATCAGGAGCAGATGTAGGATATGCGCAGGGAAAGGAACAAATTAGGGAATACATTTAGCATGAGCTACCTGGCTGGATGGTGCAAGAGGTGCAGCATCGAGTCAGATGATGGATGGTCTGGAAGGTCCCAAAGATTACTATCAAATATAAGATTTCTTGGTTCAATTTCTGTTTATTATCAGGAGTCGAAAATGAAGATCATTCTCCAGTTCTCTTCAAATTATTGGAGTCTAGAATCTCTGAAATCCAAAGGCTAAATACATCATCAATCCAAACAATCACTTTCAAACTTGTCTATATAGAGAAAGGAGAAATCTCTTCTTTCTTTTATTTCTCGTCAACCGATGACATGTCTGGAGTGCTATAGAGATCGTTGACTGCAATTTATTGTTTGATATATTGCGACATCTGAACAGTAGAGTTTTGCGGAGATTTACGCACCCTCAATTGTAAACTTCATGAATAGCTTTGAAATATTTTGTTCAAGTTGCTACTGTTGACATATATACCATATGTCAGCGTGCTAAATATATACTATTATTGATCTTATCTCGGACGCTTTTCAAGCAATAATTTCCGATCTTTGTAATATATACTACGCAGGATTTCTATACATGTTTCAACCCCAGGATATATCAATCCGACCAGACCGACCTTTGTTCGAATGACAAGAGAGGTTCAGAAGAATTCAGTTCTCGTTTGATACATCTCTGAATCAGTCCAAAGAGTCATCTAGAATTCTCATATATTTCTAGATTGAAGGTCATGATGACGTAATTAGAAAGAAGACTGGGCAGTTCAGCTGTGATGAAAGTTTTTATTGTACAATTGATAACCATAAACGGTATACGTGATCCATAAACTTGAATTTCCATGTTTACCCATAGACTAATAAATTATTAACATTTGTATTTACATCGAAGATTTTGGCTAATTACCAACAATATGTCCAGTCATCTCATTATTTGGACGTACCCATATCCAGAATATGGACAAGAATGAGAGGGAGGATCGTAGGATAGTGCGGGAGGAGCAGTGGTCAGTTGATGAATAAAGTAACAGTCCAGGTGGAGATATCTACCCCACCATCTCATACAACCGTTCTGGAATCGGACAGCGATAAGTGTTCTATTAGATCAAGCTCAGTATATCATGCAGTAAATCCATTTCAGGAGTTTTTTCCTATCATTTTGTATCCTAGTAAATAATGGTCTCTGGTCGATGAATAGCGAAATAAATATCTGAATACGTATAAAATCGTTAGTTGAGCCAGTCCTGAGAAGTGATAAGCGGAAATTCTGCGAATCTCAGGGTTTGACTCTTCAACTCGTATGTATTACACTAGCACACAATTCAAGGTTTCAATTGCAGCGATTAAAATGTCAGGGGACACATTTCGAGTGGGTTTCAGTCTCAGACCCATCCATCATTAATCTAGTCCGATGTTCTGTATGAGACGTGATATCTACATTTTTGGTATAGAGGGGATGTGTCCTTAACTGCTTGATGAAAATGAGATGGGGATGAATTTTAAACTGTCAATTATTTGCAAGATATAAACTGAAGCCAAGAAGTCCCAGACGGCAACTATCTATGATCAAAGAGCCAACTTTTATCCATGTTCATTGTATCCGCTAAAAATTACTCGTGCGCATATCCGAGACCGGACTGATAGACGATAATTAGTATTGAATCTATATTGATTCGCACGTGGACATTGAATTGTTTTCCCTCATAGATTTCAATGTCTTATATTCATGAGACGAATGCAGTTTTATTCAAAAATATTACGACCCTTGTTACGAATGACCATGGTTCTTTTGTATAGTATTGACCGGATCATGCTGGAGGAACAAGAGAACAAATCAATTTCATGTCAAGAGGTCCGTGTCCTCATAATTCTAAAGCTATAATTCCTGTGGGAGGGATCGCACATGCTTGCAAAGGGATGCGTGTAGTTAGCCCGAGAACAAAGAAGTTTACCTACATGCTGAAATTGTAAAAAAAAAACAAAACAAAACAAAATCTCCATTCAATGATTAAAGTCAAAGATTTCTGTTCATCCTTCTGAAATACAAGTATTTATTTTCTTATGACTGTAGGAGTGAATTGAAGTTCATCGTTCAATCAAACCTCCTCAAACTTTTAAAAAATAACTAGTCTCAAGCAAATGTATTTCAACATGCTTGTTTTCTTTTGATTTCGATGTTCGGATTTGAGGGCAGTATGGTACACAAAGAATGTCAGTTGAAATGGAGAACGGTTCACCACACACTCTTATATAAGCGTGTGTGGTGAACCGACAATTTCACAGTCAAAATCTGAAACTCTTTAAAGTCAAAGTTCGAACATTGACGAATTCATTGACCATTCGAGCAGTAAGCACCTAGCGAACCAGAGGAATCTCGATGCACAATAGAAAGTACTCCGTTCAGAGAGAGACAGGATACTCATCCCTCGATCAGGACGATGCAGTACTGAGCATGTACTTTGCATATCTAGATTCGAGAAGGCTGGCGAATGGAGACCAAAAATCTGCTACCTCGTGATTGGTGCTAAATTCCAAAACTTCCAAGAACAAATCACTTCAGAACAATTTCTGGCAGTCAATTTTTCGCGTGATTAATTGCCGGCTCTTTGTAGAAAATAGACAGTTGAAGAATAATTGATTCAATAATAGGGACGCGAAGAGTACCCTCGCTCCTTGAAGGTGCATTGTGCAGCGGCTTTGATCCTGACGAAGATCACTATACTTACACACAAGATAGGTTCAGAACTGGCTGGGGCTTTGCAAATGCATTTCGGGGAATTTGGGGAAAAAATTAGTGTACCTCATATTTTGTTCATGGGTCACAATCATTTTAAACTCCTTGAGAGTTCTCTTTCCATCATCTCTAATTTGAGGAAGAATAAACATGTATTTGAAAAGAGAGAATATGCCAGTCATGTCGTTTGACGGTGCACTCCAGAGCAAACACGAGAGTCTCGCTAGCTTGAAGTATATTCGATTGCAAGACTTTTAGAAGAAATCATTGTAGCTGATAAATTGTTGGAAACAGATGATATAGGATCTTCATGTTTCATTTGTGACCCTCCTTCAGTTCGAAGTGCAAGTTGACCACCTTGGTCATAAAAACTAACATACTGACGATTATTTTCCTTCATGATTAGAACTATCATTCTTTGATCAATTCAAATCTGGGCAATACTCTTCTTGATCCATCTTGCGGTTTAAAAAACGTATGATAATGATGTGCCAAGAAGCACAAGAAGCAGATGAATACACAATGCCAAGAAAGCTCATTATAAAACAACAGCTTAGGTTACGATGCAAAGGATGAATGATCTATTCATTGGAGTGATAATTCAATAGTAGGAAATCCACAATCAATTTCGTCAAAAGTCTTGAAATCGAAGCTGTGGCATTAAAAGCACTGTACAGGATTAAATAGTCTTTATGATGGAGGTTTCTGTATATATTAAATGAAGATCACAACGATAATTCCCATCTACTGCATGAGCTGCTGTCCAAAAATATTTCGGTCCTCCGGTCAATATCTGATCTTTGAAATCAATGACAATTTTATTTGTCAGTGATTTGTCAGTTATCGTTCTAAATTAGTCGTCAAATCCTCTTTTTTGATAGGATCAGACATGTGTACTCAGACGTTAAATTTTAGGTACCCTTCCTCCGCTGCAAGCTGATTTCATCCATAATGACAAGCAAAATAAGTTTCTCAACAATATTTTAATTATCAATATGCATGCTCGCCCACATGGAGATGAAGTTGTACGATAAGTCAAGGTCAGTTGACCCGAAAATGAGGTTTCGTCGGTTTGTTACAAAACGTTGAACTGCGGAGACTCCATGCATGATTACTAGTACAGCCGTCAACAACATATTTATTATGCATACGAGATATAAACGGTTGGCTTTGTCCGCAGATCTTGTATTGAATATCTGGAGTTCTATATGTAGAGAGACATGTAGAAATATATTTAAATCGTAACAGAAAGCATCGGTTAATTATGTCTAGAGTGTGATTTCTCCGACGTACCTATTGACTAGTAAACGTTTGCAAAAGCTGATGAACACCTATGTGGAGAAAGTACTAAATGTCGGGAAAGTAGATTGTATACGCACAGATACGGAGAATACATCTTCGAAATATCAAACGGATCAGACAAAGGAGAGCATAGAGATTAAAAGAAAATTGCCTTAGTGTTCATACAACCTAATCTATAGTTATAACCAAGGGATGCTAGTAAAAGCAATTCAGCCGGTCACACATTAAAAATAAGGAGCCCCAGAGTTAAAAAGAGAATAGATCTGCCGCACTGCAAGCAGTCAGCTTGTTTAGAAGATCCCGCCTTCCTTGCAGCGATAGGTGAACCACTGAATCATGATGCTGAATTCTGCCAGTAACCTCCACCACACATTGTGAGGTTCGATACTAAACTACAATAAATCTCAAGCTTATCTATCAAACTCGAATCACAATAACGTCAGGATAACCATCAAATCACTCTCAATTGTAAGGGTCTGAAGATAACATAAGGTAAAAAATCATCTTAACTATCCGACAAGCAGACTCTAGAGGCTGCTAAAGAAACAACTTTCAAACTACAATGAGCAAAGCAGGCAAATAAATAAGAGACATGTCTTTTCCTATTTTTGAAATATAAGTGGATGGAAAATGATACCTGTTGTAAATTGACTTTGATTATAGTTTCATCTTGGAAAGCAAAAACATTAGATCGTATATGGTGATCTTCAACATATTGATTATGGCATATTGCATACTACTGATATCAACATTCAGACAGGTTCAGGTATTCCCAAGTAGACATATTTGACACACAACGGTACGGAGCATCGTACTTGTCATAAGTGTACATAATGCAGCTAATGTATTCGGTACACAATCATCCAAGTCAAGACATTATCATAACTATGTAAGCATTACAAAATTACAAAACGATGGTTTGACCAGGGCATGCCAAAGTCTAAAACATGCAACTGTTTTCTCGTCGGGACTGGAGAAATGGACAAAAGAGCGCTTTTATATAAAGAGGTTATCGGACAAACTTCACGACCGAGAACAGTTTCAACTGTTAAATTTACATGACAATGAGCCCAGACGAATATAACTAAGTCACTTAATGGACAGGCTGCTATTACAGCACGTCAAGTTGTGAATCGGATTTGAATGCAAAAGATCCATTGTCGAGTATCTAAGAGTACGGGTGTACTGCCATGGTATCTCAAACCATCTTGCTGCATGCCTCGCAGATACCTCGAATGCCCTCCGATATATTTGTCTCTGCAGCTGATATGATGAGTATCATTGAGAGCAGTCAAGACATACATACGTGTCCATGTTTGCCACCTGCTCGCGGCTCAGCTTGACACAGGATGGGTGGAACCAGTCGCTGCAAGCCTCGCACTGGACCATGAAATGGTCTGGATTGTATGGCATTTCACACAAGCAGTACACATCCACAACCTCCGGAGAAAGTACCTGCAACGCCGCCTTGTACTCAAACCTCCAGAAGTAATCGTGCCTGTCCACTTCTTTGAGCTTACAGTACTCCTTGAAAGTGTGGACGTTGCACTTGTCCTGAATACAGTCCGCGTCTTGACTGTCATAATGATCCGATAAGCAGACCTCTTGTGCACCGTGGAAAGATCGCCTGCGGCTGATCGTCTCCTCGGGGTGGTAGAACCAGCGAATTTTCACGACAGTCTTCTCTCTCCTGCCTGCCTTTATCCTCTGAATCTTCTCAATTTTCGCAACATATGGCGGTTTTTCACGTTCTGGGGCCTGAATCAAGACTGTGTCCCCAGCTTTGACAATCTTCCGCGTGCCCGGGATCGTGTAAGATTCAATTTCAGTGCTGGTCATCTTCTTGGAACCGTCGAACAATCCCTTGGTCCGACGACGTTTTTTGCCCATTGATTTCTCCCCCTCGTGCACATGCGAAGCCACGGTCGTCCCTTCAGATACATTGCTCAGTCTCTTCCTCTTGAGCGTTTTTTGTTCACTCGCTTCAATCAGAGACCGTAATTCTCTCTTCCCCATGTCGCAAAACGTCCCGTTTTACATTTCGAGTGTCATCCTTTTGGACTTGCCATCCTCACCTCTAGCAAGAAAAGTGAAAACAGCCAGTAGAATCCATGTCCAAGCTACGGAGGAGTCCTGGCTTACCAGACATGCATTTCTTCAATTTCAGTGCCCGCAGCCCCTCTTCAAGTCAACCTCCACCTGCAACGGGATAAACCACATCTCAACGTTAGCAATCGCCCTGAATGTTCATACTCGCAAGCCTCCTCGGACTCGTCAGTCAGTGCGCCGCAAGACAAACGAAGCGAAATGCCACGAGCTGCAGAACTACAGAGGACCATGTTCCCTCATCGCTCATGCCCCACATTCTTTTCGTCTACTTTCTCAAACGACATGCGACTGCGAGGGTCCGGCCGGTTTCAGTTCCAAAGACAGACGATTGCCCAGTAGAAAAAGACCATCATCGAGCTTCCGATTCTCCCAATTCCTCCTGGTCTCTCACCCGCACGGCAGCTCTGACAGCTTTGCAGGACGACCCACAACTGCTTCTCTCTCTTTCTCTCTCTTTCTCTCTCTCGAACTAAAACCACAGAAATAAATTTCACCGCATAAATCTGCGCAAGCATGTGACCATTCAGCCCTCTGACATCACTTTTCCCCTGGAAGATCTCGCTCCCAACTTAAGAACCTGCACTCTCGACAAAGCTCACGCACCAGCTCGTCTTACCCCTCGTTGACTCAGATACCTCATGCCAAGAATCTCTGGCTGCTAAAAGTGCGCTTCGGGAATTGGAATCGGATTTCGCAGGTCTGAGCACAGGCTCCAAACTCTCACACTCACTCGACTCTCGACAGTAATCTCTCTGCAGAGGAGGAGAGAACCCCGTCCAGCATAGCCAATCCCAGTCCCACATGCGCCTCTTCGGCAGCGCCGCTCATGTGCACAACCCGCATTACCAAGACCGCCCAGACCATCGTGACGAGACTGGCTCGAATCTTGACGAGTCAACGGAACCGAGCCACTCACCTTCTGCAATCGCGTCCGAATTGAACAGACCGCCGCTTCACAATTTCACACTCACTCCCCTCTCCTGACTCCCCCTCTGGTGGTATCTGTCCACGCAGCTTATCAGCTCGTGCAGTCAATTAATCAATCAACCCATCTATCCATCCACCAGTCAATCAATTAACCAACCAAACTATCAACCATCCAAAACATCCACCCGTCAATCTGCGTTGCCCTCTAAATCGACCCCATTGCCGAACACGACGCCCAATCTTGCTTACAGAGAAAGACATGCTCGTGGCTCTGCTTTGCCCTGCATGCCTGCCTGTTACCTGCCACTCGACCCCGTCCCTCTCTGTCCGTCCTTCCCTTCCCTTGCCTTGCCTTCCCTTCCCTTCCCTTCCCTTCGGTCCGATTCCGAGTCACGGGCCTCCTAATCACCCACGGGCCAACTGATCTTAAACCCTTGAACCCTAATGACAGCCGGTTCAAAGAAACGGCAAGACCGGGTTCCCGGTGGCCCGTCTCCATGCGTTTAATCTACGGCGCGTACAGAAACGTACAGTACTCTGTGTACGATGCTGCTCTCTCTACTCGACGGTTTCTTCACCACAGCACAACGTTCGAAATTAGCAGCCACCCACTCCGTCCCGCAGCTCCCCTCCCCCTCCCGCCCCGGCGGACCTACCTGCCCGCAGACAGGAATCATCATCCTTCCTCGGCAGCCCGGGCATATGAGGACGGAAGTACGCGGGCCAAACGTCTGGTCTGGACGGGCGATGATTCCTTGAATTTCCGTCAATCGTCGTCGGGTGACTCGAGTCTAAACTGGCCCGTGATTGCCAGAGGCAGGTTTGACTGGTCTCCCATCTAAACTGCGATGAAGGAATCCCCACCCTCCTTCCTTTCGCAAAAGCTTCGACCGTTATTTCTCACGAACCCATAAGAGCAACAAGGCCAAATTGCATTACGCTGGCATACGAAGTTTCAGTTGCATACGCTGGCATACGAATTGGTATGGAAGTTCCGTTACGTTACAACTTGAACGATTACAGCACTCACTTAAAAGTGCAACATTATCGCCAGTGAACATTATGCCTGACGATACACAAATGTAAATTTGCAAATGGGTGCATGGGAATGTGATGCCATTAACTTTACACATGTTTGTTAATGCAAAGAAGCCTAAACTCTTGGACTTCAAGACTACTTTGGGGGTTCTCAATTTTCTCCATTAACTTGGAGCCATACATGACCAAGAAACATAGAAAAGAATCATCTATGATCATCAAGCTAAAGTCTAAAAAGATACATACTCTTTTATGCGCAACAAGTTAAAGTCCGGAAAGATACATAATCTTATATCCAAATGTTGCACATGTACAATAAAATTGTCAAGAATCATCTATGATCATCAAGTTAAAGTCTCGAAAGATACATAATCTTATATCCAAATGTTACACAAGTACAATAGAATTGTCAAGTATCATCTATGATCATCAAGCTAAAGTCTAAAAAGATACATACTCTTATATGCGAATGCTGCACAAGTATAATAGAATTGTCAAGAAACTCTTATATGCGCATGTTGCACAAATACAATAGAATTGTGAAGAACCTCAACCTCATCTTTTATATACTTTAAGACAACTGTTTATCTCATGTTGATGCGATCAAAATCTTGGATTCATCATATCACCAACAATGTTTTTTATATCGTTATCTTTTTTTCACCAAATGCAACGAGCAAATATCAACTCTTGAAAAAATTTCTCAATAAAATTCCTATGTAATACAACATGTTTACAAAGATCCATCAAGTATTCTTTTATTCAATGGAATTTACCAACGGCACACCCTCATCCATATTTTAATAGCGATCCAGGAAGCGAATTGGGAGCCAAAATTACAACGGAGCAAATCAATCAAGATCTTTGAGCGGATGTTTCGGATGAGAGAGCATGAATCATAGAGTACAATTTGCAATCTAAACATAAAAACAGTTAAAATCTTCTCATAGCTAGAAACCTAGATTTGAGCAGACAATATTTGCATACTCAAAATCAAATAATAGAGAAAATTGCTTCAGACTATAAAGTATCCATTGAAGTTTTCATTACAGTTTCTTTCATGAGCTATTTGCACATTGTGCATTCAACCAAATGTGGGTCAATGATTGACATACTCTCCAAAAGTTGAATAGATTAGCAAGAGTCTCATTACCTTGCTAATCTATTTCATTTGATGAGAGGATTGACGTGTTTTATTCACACTAAGTTTGTGGTATTGAAAGTCAATATTTGGGTATTTTACAAAAATCAGTTATGCAGATTTTAGATACAATGGCAGAGATTATCTCTCAATCGTCATTCACGGTAAAACGGCCAACAACTCTTGCTTCAACACCTCATCTGATATGCAAAGCTGCATGAACAAGCTCAATTCATGCATTTTCCACTTCTTTTCTGCCCTGAGGTTGCAAGGAAAAACGGGCTCTTTCAAAACCAGACTCGCATTTAAGCAATTACAAGTAACCATCCGTACTCATGAGCTGAATGCCGATAACATTACATGTTGGAAAGAAAGAATTTATCACAAGCATACTTGTTTCTTTTGGTCCCTTCTAACTTCGCTGAAATTGTATATTTTAATCGATAAGTATGCATTTTAGCTCGAAGACATTCAGCTATTAGTTATTTGTTGCATCATATAATTCCAATTATATCATATAAATTGGGCTTAAAATAAAATCAACACACAATCACATTTCATGCTTGAACTACGTTTGGCAAAAATAAATTGCTTCAGATTAATAGAGGTTGCAATTTTGGCTCCCAATCGAACAATGTAGTTGTTACACACATTGTGCTCTCTCTTTCTTGCACAACTAAACAAGAACATACAAAAATTCCAATAGGAGCTGGAAATCAGAATTCGTTACGAATTCAAAGCACAAAATTATCTTTGCCATTACCTTTGATGAATGTTTAATCAAAGTGGATCGATATGTTAAATACTTATCACACTACAACGCCCCAACTATATAATTACAATAATTTTATTCGGAACATGAAATGCACGGCCGATTTGAGAAGACCCATTGGTTAAAATAACACTACTACACTCCTAGGTAAGCATGTTATGTTACATAGAGAATTCATCAAGTAATTTTCTCGTCAGGCTATTAATTAAGAAATCATTCGGTTTTTCAAAGCGCATTTTTGCTGTGCTCAACTAAACCATCTAATACTTTAGTATGGAAGTAGAAACCAACCCAAGTAGTAAATCTAGCAAGTAAATAAATGTGCATCTTATCTTCAATTTTAGATTAATATTCATATACACCTACTTGGTCGGAATAAATCAACATCGGATGTCATCAAGGAGAATATTATTCAATGATGCTTTATTAAAGTCAATTGTTTCCCATTTTTTTAAACATCAATCTAATTAAGATATCCATATCAATCGACCTGTTTCCAATTCAAATCAAGTTATCAATTATTTAGTGAAAATCTTGTAAAAAATTTAATTAGATGATTTTTTCTCAACATTTATAATTCTTGATGATGCAAGCATTGAACAAGTTGCCAAATATCTAATTGAAATGGATGATTTCAATGCTACAAGTAACTACAATTTTGATGATGTTAGCATTGCCAAGTCTGTAATGAAGTAGCAGAAGCTACTGCAAGGTGTTAGCAATTTAGATCACAATGTTCTCAAGATCTCACCTGTGATACTCGTCAAGCAAGCGAATTGAGCAATCATTAATTTGATAAACTTTCTCTCTCTTGAGTAATCTTTATCAACAAAATTTAAAAGTAAAGTGTTTTTCACCTCTAAAAATATTGTCGTTCATTGATCCACTAGCAAAAATTTGAGATTGTTGCATAGTAAAAATTAATTGACAATAGGATATGTAGCAAAGTATTTTAATGCAATCTAAAAGAGTGAACTGTTGAGATAGATGGTAAAATAAACATAAATCATATTTATCTTTCTCATAACTTTTTATTGTGATTATGATGTAAAATTACACTTGAAACTATTTGTGTTGTATGATATCATGTAACTATTGTGATAAGTGACGTAATGTTAATACTAGGCAGATTTATTACTTACAAACTAATGATTTTGGAATTTGATGCTACCAATGGATTTATGTCATTCATACAAGATGCCACTACTGGAAGGTTGTACTTTGTATATATTTTTCAAAATTTGTTATTAATGTATGTTTCAAAATAAATATTAGTTACTTTTGGTGCTTTGCGCATAACAAAAAATACACAATTATTATACTGATTTTGTTTAATATTTGATTCAAAATCATCAAAACATCATTAATATAAAGAAAATTTAGAAATTTTTTTTTGTAAAAAATTATCTAAAAAAAATCTTTACATATTTTTTTTAAGTCTATAATCTTTGGATGAAAATCAAACATATTTATTTATTACAGTGGTTTGATACTTCTTCATCAATTTTTGTTAAGTTATTTTATTATATATATATATATATATATATATATATATATATGTAAAAAGTAATGAGGAAAAAACTAAAAAAAACCTATGTTATATTTCAATGCCATATCTATTTAAATTTTTACTGCTGTTAATGTGAAAATACTTTGCAAAAATTCTTTAAATGCTTAAAATCATATAAAACTGTACACAATGATTTTGTTTCACAAGGCTTTACAAGATCAATTATTTGTTATTGTAAAAATTACAATGATAAAGAAATGAGTAAACAAAATTGAGTTTTTTAACCAAATGAACTTATATTATTGTTATGATATTCTTTTGTTATTTCACTATTTTTTAAAAAATTCTTTGTACATAATATTCAATGATTTATCCAATTGTGAAAATTTATGAATTAGTGAGAAGTGATCTAAATTTTATAGTTATAATCTATGATATAATTTTTTCAAAAAACATGATATATTAAAGTTATCTTATTATCTGTAATAAAAGAAAAAATAGAAGATTAAACAATTAAAAGTTGTGGCTTTTCATTACACTATATATGAATTATTTAGAAAAATCCTTTTACAATAAAAGAATGATTTCTAATAATAATGAACTTATAATTCATAAAATTATGATACAACATATTATATAAGAGATTTTGATATAATTTAAGAATAATTTTCCAATTAGAATTTTTTATTAATATATATAATTTATTTAAATTTATTTAGTACCAATAAAAGTTTGTAATATAGAATGAAAACTGTTAAAA